GGTGCATGCACCACATGCTGTTCAGCACCCAGGCGCGCCAATGCCTGCAGGCGCCACCAAGCAACAGGCAGAAGAAGTTTTCAGGGTATGCTCTCATTATGGACTCTTTCTTCTTCTTTCAATACCATTTATTGCTTCGGACTATCAATGCTGATACGTCATATAGAAACTTAGGCAGATGAAGGAGCAAGGCGTGCCACCGTCGGACCCTGAATACATCAAGGCTTCACAGTTCTTGATGAGTTTCCAACAGCAACACACCATGCGACGTAACCAGCAGCAATTCCTGCAGCAGCAACAAAAGCAACAGATGCAGAATGCAACAAACGGTACGCCTGCCAACGGTGTTATGCCTGGACGTTCTATGCAGCAAGGTTCGCCCCAATCGACTCAACCCCCTTCTAATCCGCTCGGTGCCTCCGCAATGCCAAACCAAACGACCCCTACTCCTGCATCCACTGGAACGTCTCCATCGACTGCACCATCTTCAAATCATTTCACTCAGCAACAGCTCGGTCTACTTCGACAACAGATCCATGCTTTCAAATTGCTGGGTAAAAACGCCGGAGTCTCTCTACAGCTGCAGCAGGCCATATTCAACCAGCGACATCGTAGACAAGCCGCCATCGCCGATGCTGCGCAGGTGATCCAAGCGACTAAATCGAACCAGGCAGATTCCGAATCCACTAAAGATGGACAGAACGGACCTGGAGCTGTGACAGAAGATGAGGGCTTGGACATTCCTAAGGCGCATACATTCAAGACAGTAAAGTCCCCCTATGGCACCAGCATGATTCGCCCCGAAATCAAGTACTTTGATCATTCACAGCGGAAGAATCGCTGGTTTATTCCTGGTGTATTCCCTACTGGTATTGATTTTGATCATTTGCGATACGAACGAGAAGTTGTTGTCTCGAACAGGATGAGACAGCGATATGCCGAGTTAAAGAATCTGCCTGGTGACTTGGCCCACTGGGACTCTTCCAAGGAAACACTAGAGGCCGATGACTCTCTCAAGCGAAAAGCAATAATTGAGATGAAAAGCATAGCTCTCTACGCCAAGCAACGGGCTCTTCGGGATAAGATCGGACGTCAAATGATACATTACGATAACCTCGCCATGACCACAAATCGATCTGGTTTCCGCCGAATGAAGAAGCAGAACGTCCGTGAGGCTCGTATTACCGAAAAGCTCGAGAAGCAGCAACGCGATGCCCGCGAGAACCGAGAGAAGAAGAAGCACACCGATTTCCTTCGAGCTATCTACACCCACCGTCAAGAAATCCAAGATTCTGCTTCTTCGCAACGTACCAAGTCGCACAAGCTCTCTCGTCTTATGTACCAGCAACACTTTAACATCGAAAAGGAGGAGCAGAAGCGTATCGAGAGAACGGCCAAACAGCGTCTTCAGGCTCTCAAGGCCAACGACGAAGAGGCTTACCTTAAGCTTCTTGACCAGGCCAAAGATACCCGTATCACGCACTTGCTCAAGCAAACCGATGGCTTCTTGCATCAACTCGCGTCATCAGTCAAGGCTCAACAACGACAGGCAGCCGAGCGCTATGGTGACGGGGATGATCCGCAGATGGATGACGCCAGTGATTACGATGAGGATGACGAAAGCAGCAAGAAGATCGATTACTACGCTGTGGCACATCGCATTCGTGAGGAGGTTACCGAGCAAGCCAACATGCTCGTGGGCGGTAAGCTCAAGGAGTATCAAGTCAAGGGTCTCCAATGGATGATCTCACTCTACAACAACAATCTGAACGGTATCTTGGCTGATGAAATGGGTCTCGGAAAGACCATTCAAACCATCAGTCTAATCACTTACCTGATTGAGAGGAAACAACAGGCCGGACCATACCTTGTCATTGTGCCTCTGAGTACGTTGACAAACTGGAACTTGGAATTCGAAAGATGGGCTCCTTCTGTGAGCCGTATTGTCTACAAGGGACCTCCCAATGCTCGCAAGCAGCAGCAAGACAAGATTCGGCAAGGAGGGTTCCAAGTATTACTCACGACATATGAGTACATCATCAAGGATCGCCCTATTCTAAGCAAGATCAAGTGGTTCCACATGATTATTGATGAGGGTCATCGAATGAAGAACTCAAACTCCAAATTGAGCTTTACCATTCAGCAATACTATCATACCCGTTTTCGACTCATTCTCACCGGTACTCCTTTACAAAACAACCTCTCTGAACTCTGGGCTATGCTCAATTTTGTTCTGCCGAACATTTTCAAATCTGCAACGACTTTTGATGAGTGGTTCAATACCCCCTTCGCGAACACTGGCGGCCAGGATAAGATGGAACTCACCGAAGAAGAGCAAATTCTCGTCATCAGGCGTCTTCACAAGGTCTTGCGACCCTTCCTTCTCCGCCGTTTGAAAAAGGACGTCGAAAAGGATCTTCCCGACAAGACAGAGAAGGTCATCAAGTGCAAGTTCTCCGCCCTTCAGTCCAAGTTGTACAAACAGATGGTTACCCACAACAGACTCGTCGTTAGTGATGGCAAGGGCGGAAAGACTGGTGCTCGCGGATTGAGCAACATGATTATGCAGCTCCGGAAGCTATGCAACCACCCGTTCGTTTTCGATGTTGTAGAAAATGTCATGAATCCTATGAATGTCAGCAATGATCTCTTGTGGAGGACAGCAGGAAAATTCGAGCTGCTTGACAGAATTCTCCCTAAGTATCAAGCAACTGGGCATCGAGTCTTGATGTTCTTCCAGATGACTGCGATCATGGATATCATGGAAGATTATTTGCGTTACAAGCGATTCGAGTACCTCCGATTGGATGGTACGACCAAATCCGACGAGCGCTCCGACTTGCTTCGAGAGTTCAATGCCCCTGACTCTAAATACTTCATGTTCTTGCTATCCACCCGCGCAGGTGGTCTTGGTCTCAACCTGCAGACCGCTGATACCGTCATTATCTACGATTCCGATTGGAATCCTCATCAGGATCTGCAGGCCCAGGATCGTGCTCATCGTATTGGCCAGAAGAATGAAGTCCGAATCCTCCGACTCATCAGCTCCAATTCAGTAGAAGAGAAGATTCTCGAGCGAGCAAGATTCAAACTTGATATGGATGGCAAGGTTATTCAGGCCGGTCGTTTCGACAACAAGTCATCTGAGACCGACCGTGACGCTATGCTTCGAACATTGTTGGAGACTGCTGATATGGCGGAATCCGGTGAGCAAGATGAGATGGAGGATGAAGAACTCAACATGCTCCTTGCGCGCAGTGATGATGAGATAACTGTGTTCCAGAAGATTGACGAGGAGAGACAGAGAAATTCGCCCTACGGCAATGGACCAGGCAGCAAACCTCGACTTATGGGTGAGGATGAATTGCCAGAGATCTATTTGAACGAGGGCAATCCTATTTCGGATGAGACGGAGGATGTTGTGCTGGGTCGTGGTGCGCGTGAACGCACCAAAGTCAAATACGACGATGGTCTCACTGAAGAGCAATGGCTTATGGCCGTGGATGACGATGATGACTCTCCAGAGGCAGCTGCGGCTCGCAAGCAAGCCCGAAAGGACAGGCGAGAGAACAACAGGCTGAAGAAGTCTGGAATCTCCAACTCGGTGGACGAATCGCCATCGGGCAGTAGAGCAAGCACTGAGGAGATTGAAACCCCCAAGAAACGAGGTCGTAAACCAGGCAGCAAGAACGAGAAGCGCAAGGCCGAGGACGGTAATGATGAGCCTCCTCCCAAAAAGCGACGTGGGCCACAAGGACGCCCCAGCAAAGTCAGTCTGGAGTCACGACTTCCACCACATCAGCGGGAAGTCTTACAAAAGAGTCTCCGTAACTTGTACGATGCTCTAATGACTTTGGAGGTGGACGATATTGAACCCCCCGAGGATGACGAGTCGGATCCTGGCAAGCGTCTCATCATCGGACCCTTCGTCAAACTGCCTCCCAAGCGCGATTACGCGGACTACTATCTCATCATTCAGAACCCTATCTGCATGAACCAGATACAGACTCGGATCAAAAAGGAGGAATACACATCATTAAGTGGACTGCGAAAGGACATCGAATTGATGATCCGCAACTGTCAGACTTACAACGAGGATGGAAGCATTCTGTATCAAGATGCTAAGGTCATGAACGTAAGCATAATCTGTCTGTGATTATTCGTCTGATTTGTCGCTAACGTGCTGTAGGAATTCTTTAACTCCAAGTACCAAGAGGAACTGGTGGCGCATCCTGAACTTCAAGAACTTGAAGAGGGGGTAAAGGACAGTTCAGTGGCGCCCTCTGGAGGAGGCGGCACTCCGCAGCCCAGTGGCACCCGGATCAAACTGATTTCTAGTGGCTCGAAAGAAGCAAACGGCGGTAGCACTGCTGCTCAAAGCGACGAGGAATGACAGATGCGGCTGCCAAGGGAGGACTCTTGATCGACAAGATCGGGCCGCAAAATAGCCTGTAAAGTTGTATCGCCCAAAGCGGCGATTGTTTGATGATATATGCAATGGCGTTCGGCAGGACAGGTGTCAATAAACAACATGCGATCAGGGACAGGGAAAGAGAAAGCGAAGGGAATCGAGGATCAAATACCATACACAGCCGACGCATTGACAGAAGTCGTTTCATGGACCTCCCAATGGACGACTCTGGAGGGCGTCAAACCCTGCGAGGGGATGGCGAACTTGCACTGCGTGTTTAGATAAATAGTAGGATGTATTTTTAATTAGAAACCTTACATGCAGTAACTTTTGTTCCTCTCTCTATCTTTAACGGCGACAGCGCTGGTGATGATTTGACGCGATAACATTCTGAGTTTGATAGCAACTCCAGGTCAGGTGTCTTGAATTTGATGCTTCCTCAACCCAGCTCAGCTCAGCACAGCTCTCTCTGCGCAACAAACCTAGACTTGTCCTCATTCGCCACACTCCCAACACGCCGACAGTCTTAGCTGGACCTTGACCAACGCCTGCTTTCCGTTAGGGGGATCTTAATGGACAAACTTTCATAATGAAGAAGACTCTGCTTCTTTGTTTTATTCATGGTTTCAAGGTATACACATCCATACCGTGCCTCTACCTCTCGCTGCCTCGTGTGTCGTCATAGTCAGTCTCAGCCATAATACTAATTTAATCAAGGGCGGCGAGGACACGTTCGGTGTCGATTATCAATTCACCAAGGACCTACGCGATTTGGTAGGGCAGGCTTTACCAAAGGTTGATGTTGAAGTGGTAGTCTATCCCAAATATGAGACTCGTGGGGATTTGGGCAGTTGTGTGAGTCGCTTCCGCGACTGGTGAGTATTCCTTAGTGGACAGCTGCTGTTACAAGGGCATTAGCTAAAAGCGATTGCCATAGGCTTCAGAACAAGGTCATCGACATGGAGGTCGCAGCTGGCACACCGTCGCCAACGATAGAGCCTTCGGTGCGAACCATCCTCGTCGGCCATTCCATGGGTGGCATCGTGGCGGCCGAGATGCTCATCGGCTTAGCTTCTGAGAAGCCTATCTACACAGAAGACGGTATTCAAAAGACCGAGAAACCAACTTTCAATTCCCTCATGTTTCCCTACATCCAAGGTGTTCTCGCCTTTGATACTCCTTATCTTGGTATATCCCCTGGTGTGGTAGCTCACGGTGCAGAGGATCAGTACCAAAACGCTGCACAGGCTGTAGGTGCAATATCGCAGCTGAGCGGCCTCGGAGCATCACTCTGGGGCGCCAAAGCAGCAGGCTCCCCTTCAACATCGCCCGCTCCCCCAAAGATAGCTGGAGCACTGCCAGCTCCCTCCACATCTGGTGGCAACTCATGGCAAAAATGGGGCAAAATGGCTATGTACGCTGGCGCCGCTGGAGCGGTAGCAGCTGGTGGTGCTGCAGCATGGATGAAACGCGACCAACTCGGTGAAGGTTGGTCTTGGGCGTCGTCGCATCTCGAATTCGTGGGATGCCTTGCTAGAGGAGAAGAACTGCGCAAACGAGTGGCGTGTCTTCTTCAGTTGCGAGAAGAGTTAGACGTGGGCTTCGCCAACATATACACTCGTCTTGGTAAAGCAGCGCCGTCAAAGCAGATCAACGTTGTTGGTACCGTATTGGGGCAGGACAGGACATTTTGCAATCTTCCCAAAAAGCAGCCTGGGGGGGTGTGGATGGAAGCCATCAACAACAAGGCAACGGACGAGGCCGGAGCACATATGAGTAAGTCAAGACTCTCGAGAGACAATCGCTGTACTGAGACTTTTTCCAGATATGTTCACGCCGAGAGAAAATCCCGAGTACAACAGACTGGCACAGGATGCCACTGAAGTGATTCGTGGCTGGTTACAGAACGGCTGGTATGAGACGAGTGCTGAAGAATCATTCCTGTTGGAAGACGCACCATCGACTGAGGACGGCCTTGCGCCCGAGACTCCACAGGTTGAAAAAGCTGTTTAACCTGCTGGATTTCTGTTTCTTTAGTTGGATATATCTACACCTAGACGATATATATATATATGAGTGTTTGTGTGTGAATCACATCGAGGTAGCTCTTGGTTCCCCAAAATCTTCCAGTTGTATGCCATTCAATGACATTCTTCTCTCCTCTTTTCTTTACCATCTAAATTCCTTTTATTGAGCCTTCTGACCCTGGGCTTTCAGATTTCGCATGACCTTGCGCCTCTGGCTCATCAAATGTGTATACAAGACATAAGATCCTGTGCAAGGTTAGTATTGCAGTCGCACACTCAGACTCTTTTTAGCTTACCAGGAACATAGATAACCAAGATGGCGTAAAGTGCCCACTTATAGAGCTCGTTAATGTTGCCCGCTGGATCAGTGGCGAACCAGATGAGCATACATTCACTCAAGATACCAATGGGGTAGAGCACAAAGAAAGTGTTATAACGCAACCAAGTAAGAAACTTGGGCTGGTAGCCGGACAGCGAGAGAGCGAAGAAAGAATAGCGGATAATCTCGGTGACGGACCAAGCGATGAGCATGGACGAATAAAAAGGCGAGAGGGCGAGGAAGGGGAATACATCGACGATGGCCCAGACGAGCAGGAAACGCGAGGCGACCTGCATAAGAGTGGTCATAAATGAAGCGCGGACGACGCCTGGAGGGGACATTTATTGTTAGTATACACCACAATGCAATGTCAAGAAGCAGGGGAATTATACCAAGCATCGAATGTAGCACCTCCAACCCAGCCAAAGTCTGCGTCCATTTTGTATATTGACCAATATTAGGATAGACGTGCTCAGGCCCGTAGGCACCGGCAAGCATGGCGGTGCGGCCGAGCACAACAGACCATTGCACAGCTGAGAGGAAGTTGTAGAAGATCAGATAGGCCTTGTTTGCTGTTGAAGCCTCCTGTTTCAGGGGTCGTTTTGCAGCCGCAGTATTGGAGTCCATTGCTGCTAAGATCTGGGAGCCGGGAATTTCAAAGTCGAGCAGTAGACTATAGTTGGATCGAACGAGTGACTGCGAGTCAAAGGCAAAGTTGAAGCCTTGTGTTGGTGTGAGTGTTGACGATGGAAAACAGATGTTGAGGGTGGCATTGAATAAAGAAACCTCGAATTTCTTTATTAGGTTTAGCGCCTCGGTGTTGAGTGTTTTTGGTGGGGACAGCGAGTCGCCTAACCCACTGCAATCCAGATTCACATGCTAATGAATATCTACATACACTCACTCTAGTCTAGGTGCTCTCTATGAGACAACAGTATCACAATACTTCACCGTTGCTTTTGGGTAGAAGAATTCTTCTTTGATCATGATTTGGCTAGTCTCGTACTAACACTATGCCTTCTGAATCCAGAGGTACTCAAAGAGCGAGGCCTGTGTGCGTGGCCATGATGTTCTTAACAAAGCCGACTCTCAATACGTCGCAGTCAGTCTCTGGACCAGGTAATCACCACTATTAATACCTTCGTACTTCTTATCTTTCTCCGTACTGAACGTCCCCGGGATCGCCTCAATATAGCTTTTGAAGTTGGGGTTACAAAAGTATCTGCTACCAAGTCAGCCTGAAAACGCCACAGTAAAACACTACCATACTCACGCAATGCTGTATCGAGGTGGGTATGATTCAGCTTGCTTCTGCGGTGGCTCAACAACTCTATGGATAGTGCTCTTGATGGTGTCGTTACTCCATCTGGCAAGCAAGTCGCCGGCATTGACGACGACTGTGCCCTCGATGGGTGTCGCGTCGACAAACTGTCCTGTTGGACTCTTGACTTGGAGCCCCCCTCGAGCATCTTGGAAGAGAAGAGTGATGGATCCATAGTCCTATTCTGGGGTCAGGTTGTGACTCGTAGGATCAGAAGAACTTACGCTATGTGCACCAGCTCGAACTGTGCCTGGCTTTGTTTTGAAGATATTGGACTCAACGGCTGGATAATGCAATAGCCGCAGCGTATTGTCTCCGACGTCGACAAAAGAGTCAAAGAATCTATCATCGAGCCCCATTCCAACAGCAATAGCTTTCATGACCTCCACGTGCAGTTGGCGGCACTTCTCAAAGAATCCAAGCATATCCTTTCGAAACCCAACAAGGTCGCCGTTTTCTTCAAGCCATCTGTTCGGACGTCCGGGCTCATCTTCACGGCCAATCTCAAGACTTTCTTTCAAGTCCGGCAAAGCGGCACGCACTTTCTCAACCTCCTGGATATCCTTGAGCTGACTGACTTTCTCACGTCCAGGGGCGGAATAGCCTCGGTTTGCCTCTGGAGTCGTCCAGACTACCTCCATCTTCTTCTCCAGGGGTTCCTTGAAGAAGCGGGCTGACAGATCAAATGCATGCTGTAAGTCTTTGGGGAGGATGGGATGGTTCTTGAGATAGATGAATCCAGCTGTTTTGAAACCGTCGAGAATGGCATTGGCCGTTTCGTCACGCTCCACAGGAGTTCCGCTGAGGAAGCGCGAGAAGTCAATGAGCTTGAAACAGGAGAAGCTTAGTTGGTAAGAGCTACAGTCTGCTGGGCATTGGATTACTGACGGGAATTGACAGACCCTCCTTGCTCACGGCTAAACCCGAGGCCATGGCAATATTACTCGTAGAGGGAATATAGTCGACAAGAAAAATGGATGGAAAAGGAACTAACTGCAGTATTTCAAAACAGGTTGCATAGAAAGACTAGTCGTGAGGGACGTCTTTGACTCTGCTGCCATCTGCTAGCTACATATACACAGGCACAACACCTCTAATACAAGCCGATAAGCGTGACGGCGCATTCCTGGACTTGGCAAGTAGAAACGAAAGAGGCTTGCCGGCGGCCAACGCCTAACCCCTCAACGGTTACTGATAAGCAGGTGATACGACATCGCAAGGTTGTGGTGATAACAGCAATGCGGGGTTGTTATCGAACTCAATCGCTCCCGAGTAGCATCTCATGCGTGTCTCTCAACTTGGGTAACCCGATTTGCTGATCTGCAACGTTGCTACACCTTGGCCCGCAAGACCTGATAACAAGTGTGTGCTGGCTGTGCCTCATCCAGACATTCTAGCTTGCTTCTTTACTCACTCGAAGCTTTGTCCAATTTCCATTCTCACACTCCCACCATTGCCTCTCTTCTCAGTAGCTGAAACACCATGTCGTCCTCTTCTTCCCGCGTGGTAGACATACATACACACATGTACCCTCCCTCATATATCCAAATCCTGGAATCGCGTTCTCATATCCCCCTCGTCCGCAAGTTTACTCAAGCACCTGATCCAAGACTCATCCTTCTGGAGGCTGAGGTCAAAGCATTGGAAGAAGCGACACAAAACCCTGAGGCAAAACCACCTGGGCGACCTCTAACATCGCACTATGCATCGCTTGCGCAAAAGTTGCATTTCATGGATACGCACAGGATTGATATATCTGTCATATCCCTAGCGAACCCGTGGCTAGACTTTCTGAGCCCGTCAGAGTCAGGCGCAATCGCGCAGTCCGTCAATGAAGAATTCTCGCGCATGTGCAGCGATCACCCTGGGAGACTCTTTTTCTTCGGAACACTTCCTTTGACAGCAGCTCTCGAGACTGTCCTCGCTTCTATAGAACATCTTCAGATCCTCAGATACTGTCGTGGGGTCATTCTGGGCACTTCAGGGCTCGGGAAAGGTCTAGACGACCCTGATCTTCTCCCCATCTTCGAGGCTCTCGCAACAACAGGACTGACTGTCTTCCTACATCCTCACTACGGTCTCCCGAATGATGTCTGGGGACCTCGAGCGAGCGCCGAATACGGGCATGTGCTTCCCTTGGCCCTCGGCTTCCCCATGGAGACAACAATCGCTGTCGCTAGGATGTACTTGGCTGGCGTTTTCGACAAAGTCCCAGAACTGCGCATGATCCTCGCCCACAGTGGTGGAACCCTACCTTTCCTTGCTGGCAGGATCGAAAGCTGCATCATGCATGACGGGCAGCTGCTTCGTGAAGGCAAGCTTAACAAGGGCCGCCGAACAGTGTGGGAGGTATTGAGGGAGCAGATTTATCTCGATGCTGTTATTTACTCAGAAGTTGGGCTCAAGGCGGCTGTTCAAGCTAGCGGTGCTGATAGGCTTATGTTTGGCACAGATCACCCCTTCTTTCCACCACTTTCGACTGATGAACAGGGTGAATGGGAGAGCGTGAGCCTGAATGCGGAGGCCGTTGCTCTTGCAGTGGGACAAGACACGGGGGACTTTAAGAACGTCATGGGGATGAACGCTGTCAAAGTATTGCGGCTCGACGCTGAATCATGATTCTAAGGGATATATTAGCGTGAGATAGAACACTGCGTATAGACATATTTACCAACCCTATTCCGTATCCTTTCTTTAAAAGGCCTTTACGAAACAGATGCATGCTCCGCAAATCGAACTTCAGCCTGGTGTATCCTCATTTTTGCGTCAAGTAAACCTTGCTCCGCTTGTTGGTACTCTTCAGGGGGGCCTTCTTTCTGCCGTAAATTCCTGACTGCCTGAACCGCGCGGAGTTTGTCGCAAACAAGCTCCCAGTAAAACTTTTGTTCGGTACCGAAGTCAACCGGGAAGTCGCCTGGTACATCCATGACACCATTGATTGGCCCAGGCGCTGGCTTGCCGTCTGAAGCCTCCGCGGCCCTTCGTGACTTGCGCAGAAACTTCTCTCTCGCCTCGTCCTGTTTCTTCTTCTCTTTCTTCTCCTTCAGTCGTCGGCGTGCTTCCGCAAGGTCTTCGACTTCTTCCGCTGCAGCGGCTTGGCGCCTTTCCTCTTCCTCGCGCATGCGCCTCTGTTCAACCAATCGTGACCTCTCCTTCTCGATCTCTTGTTTCTCCCGCTGCTCCTTTTCTGCTCTCTGTACCTTCCAAGCATTCTCTCGCGCCTCGAGGTCGTCAACAAAAGCCTTACGCTGCTTGTCCATAGTCTCGCGCTCTTGTTTTCGTAGCAGGACAGCCTTGATGGCGCCGTCGTAAGCGCCGCGCGCCCCTGGCTCGGATAGGATGTCGCGGGCGCGTTCGAAAAGCTGCCATTTTTCCGCATCGAAATTGTCGCCTGCTTTGTCGGGATGGTATTTCAGAGATCGCTTGCGCCACGCGCGATGGATGTCTTCCTTGGGTGTCAGGGCATCGATGCCAAGGAGTTCATAAAGATCTACATCTTTGGAGGCATATTCTTGAGCGAATTGCAGCAAATCGGCGGCTTTTGTGTCAGACATATCGGAGTCTGCTGGATTATATGTTGCTCGTAAGTAACTGTTCGAGTGTGGAGAAAAGCAGAAGCTTTGGACAATACCTACTAGGGAGGCTTGGTTGAAGAATCACGAAAGCACGTGACCTCGGAGCCATTAAGCCTTTGAGATGGGACTGTACTCCGTCAGGTTATTTGATAAAAGGCTATTAAGGTGGTTGAAAATCTCGCGTCTCAAACAAACTACTTGTTATGATGGATTTCCCAAATGCGAGGCGTTGACGCCTCGTATGGCCCGAAATATGTACTCACCATAAACGCAAGACTTAATACGGTCTTAGAACAAGGTGAGAAGATACTGTCTTCAGATAGCATGTTAAACTCATCATCAGATATCATAAAGTAACGAGACATTATCTAAGTCTTTTCACCCCTTGGGACTGGAGTCAGACGATTTCTGCCACCTCCTAACCACCAAGCCAGAGCCTTCAACTATTTACCGTGTCCGCAAAATGATACACATTCGGTGATCCTGCTGACAAGCTGAGTAAGTATCGCTCATAGGGTCCTAAAGGCTCTTCCACCATTATCCGTTGTCTTGCCTCTTTGGGGCCATCATTCTCGTTGCCAATGTATTCCCAAACCCATCGTCCCTTCGACCAATCGTTAGGATGGCCCATATGATCTTTTCCACCGTTCGGACACCAATCAGGCTGGAATGGAACTGGATCGGTATATTTCTCCCGCGTTCGTTTGAGTTTCCAGTTACTGAGCAAAGCTGGGCAATCCCAGACGTGGTCATCATTCAAGCCGAGGCCTTTGCAGACAAGCCTGATTCGTACGGAGCTGTGTATTCGCTCATTTGTATCAAGAAGGTATCTTGACTTATCGCATTTCGATTGGCGGTCAGCTGGCCTATACAGACCTGGTGTACGAACTGTTTGGCCAGAGAGTTTGTAGAGGAGACCTGGAGCTTTACTTATTGTCCCAAGCCCCCAAGGTCTAAAGGGGCGGTTGTTCTCGTAGATTGGGTTCATCGCCCACTGGCGTTTCTTCGTCTTCTCTCTCCTCTTCCTCGACTTTATACTGAGTTTTGAGGGGGTTTTGTGGTAAAATTTGAAGTTCTGGAAGAAGCATCGTTCTAGTGCAGGGAGGTCGAACTCAACCCCAATTGAGGCCAGTTGGTCCATCATCCCTATCTCGAAGTCAGTTTCTAAGAACATGGTTGTTGAGTGAAAGCTGTATGGAATCCTCACATGCAAGTGTGATGTTTGACATGCCCTGGTCTTCCCATCCGCCACCACAGTTACCATGATTCCCAGGAAACCATACCTGCCTGAGATCCGTTGTGTATTTGTTCTCCGGGAGCCTCTCCCAGACTGCTGGTGTGAAGGGGGGTCTTGTTTCATCTAGGGCGAGGGCCTGGAACGCATGTTCAATTCTATCTGACAGATTGGTGTCATGCCACTTAAATGTAAGAAGCTGGTCAGCAACCCGAGTTCTTGAAGATTTAGAGGTGAGACTTATTCATCATTGTCGGCACGAATTCCCAGTTTCTCCAGCCATAAAACTCTAGGAATTCCGAGGCTACCCACGGTATCCCAGACACCCACTGCTTTGATGGTGATGATGTCACCTTGTCCTTCACTCCGCCTCACACGAGTGTAGCCGAGTTGTTCCAAGCGAGCCCTGTAAACGTCCGCAGCGTCCTCTCCTTTGGGTTTATCAGGGAATGGAATGTTAGGGAATGGATCTTCATAATCATAGTCCATCCAATGCTGCATATCTTTGAAGATAGGGTAGAAGAACTCAACGCCCTCCCGTGTTAGTAGGCCTAGGTTGCCAATCATGCCTGCCACAGACCGGACTGTGAAAGCACCTCGGGAGAAACCAACGAGTATTATCTCATCGCCATCCATATAGTTGGAACATAGAAACGAATATGTTTCCCGCATACGCTAGAAGAAATGGTTAGCCAACATCCTTCATTATGATGCTCCAACACCCTCCCTCTCTCACCTCTGCGAGTCCCATACCAAAAGCACCGCCAGTAATACTATCGAGTACGTTGCTACCTGTACCAACACCTGACTCATAGTTGACAACTTGAAGCTTGCCATCGCTGCACCTCTTCTCAAAGCAACGGGATATTCGAGTAACGTTGGAAGGTATCTGAAGAGAACCCTCTTTTCTTAGCAAGCCGGCTTCTTCGTAGCCATTGTCACTATCCATCCAGGTGCCATCGCAGCAAGCGATCAACCGCTTGATGGTCTTAGGGGTAGTCTCTGTCGCCATCGTCGAGATACAACCGCCCGTGGGACCGTGTGTTTCAGACGCCAAGAAAATAATGAGAGAAGATATTCGTCAATCGATGGTTACGATGCAGACGTTCAGTGCGGCAGCTTCGACCATTAAATAAGGCCAGAGCGGCAGAAAGCAATGAACAAGGCTGAAGACTCACAAATGCATCGCCGAGCCGTCAAATGTCGGCTCTGGAGAACTTTACCATCCATGAGATAATTTAAGCGACAGGCCAAGGCTATCCCCGGTCTCAACCACAGGGCTGAGGCTCGCGAGATTACATAGGTTGTGTACAGTCAGACGACGATCCAAGTGTTAATTTCAACCTTCCTGTATGTAAGCCAAGGTCGCAGCAAAAGTACTTCATTCGATGTCGCTAGTTTGATTCAATTGCAAGACTGTCAGCGAATTGCTCTTGCAACCCAGCTCTTGTTTTACAGGAGATATCCATGGCACACAGTTGGGGTCCGCAGCAATGCAAGCTGTTGCTTACTGCCTGTTTACCTACTAAAGAGGGCAAACGCAGCGACTTGAGCCCCTTGTCCAACAAGATCCCGACCCACCTAGTGCGTAAGGGCTAATTTGGCTATGTATTTCAGTGATCAACTCCGATGATCTTGTCCCTGGGTCTATGCCAGACTAGCCCAGTACAACCTCAGTCCTTATTCCTGTTGGTCAGCATTCTTAGATACATTCGTTCGGTTTTCCTCCAACTCGAATTCTGTGCACAGCCACAACACCCTGAAAGAAAATATGTAGGCTCAAAGTGCGATGATCAGTTCAAGAACTCATGACTGGTGGCAGTGTGAGCTTGCGCCATGCGTCACAATTTGTCTTTACTCACTTACATATGTAGTATGTATATTGGATATTGCGACAAGGAATCGACTTCCTACACGGACCAATAGATTCACTCCAAAGTGAACTCACCTCTGAAGGATATCATGAATACCTTCTAACGGATTGTTTCGGCCGTTGCCTTGTCCAGGAAACGTAGTCAGGAGGATCGCTTAATCTGATTATTCCGCCATGCTACTGTAATAAGATGATGCTGCCATGGCACGGTATAACCACTGACAAGGGCTCTGTCTCGAAGAACAAAGTACGGTTTGGCAATGATTGAGAAAGAAGCTTAGTGAATATATTCAGATATGTCTCCAGCTTAGACATACAAGTATTGTATTTATACAGTATCTTACAGCACAACTTCATTTCTTACTGCTCTACTTTTCATTTCGCTGATTCTCAGCATCAAGACCTTCTCTCAACCACCCCGGCACAAAAGCCTTAACCTTTACTCTATTGCGGCTTTCCTCCTCGCCCCAATCTAGGACAAACTCGTCCTCGGGGTTGAAAGCCCCCGACGCCGCATCTCCCGGCAGTGTCACATCAGTCATGATCTCGAGGCGGCACAGCCCGAGCCCAATGTTTCCCACACCCTTGAGCCACTTGCCGGCGCTTCGACCTCTTTTCTCAAATCGTCCGATGCTTGTGTCTCGTGGTATCATGTCTGCAGTCACACTCTCAAGAGAAGACGTTATATCGTCCGCGTGATACTGAAGTGTTGTCGGCGGTGCATGCTCCGTTTCGTAGACTACACAGGGCAGAATTCGTTTGCGAACTACACCACGATGTCTGGTGCGGATTGTAAGTTCCTGGCCAACATAGCAGCCTTTGTGGAAATCGATTCCTTTCATAATATCCATATTCGTTTCCTGAGGAAGAGCATGCTCTCGAGATATCTCATCCTGACCTTCGGGAATACCATTTAAGTATCTTCGTATTGTGTAAGCTTCCTGAGTGCTTGGTTCGAGATCGAACTGGGGAGGGTGCTGATCCAGTTGCAGTAGCCGATACCCCAGACCGGGGGCTCTTGGATCCTGGAGAGAAAAGTTGGCCGGCTTGACGATTGAGTTAGAGTTCGCAGAATTTGAGTCGTCCCACGCATGCCAAACTGTCGCCTCATCATTTTCCAATAAGCGAACGGCTAGCTTTGCTCTGAGCTTGTAGCGTTTGATATGTTTGGCGAGCGTCGACGCTTGGTCTGCATCAACTTCAATCAGATATCCTGGCTCCTCGGCCGAAGCTCCTGAAGTATTGTGATTCGGGTAGATGAACACATCGTAAAGTACTCTGCCAGTCGCAGTCAAAAAAGCGGCATAGAATCCATCACTCCTCGGTTTTCCGTCCTTCGTGGTCACGTTGGCAGTCACAATTCCCTGCAGAAACTTTGCTGAGTCTGGGCCGGTGACGGATATGAGCCTTCGTGAAGTCAACGATGTGTATCCGGAAAGAGGCGGTGGGGGAGGAGAAAGCGAAGTCGCATATTGGCGCCGTTGCAGCCGGTAAGTACGGCATGTGAGGCCCGGAGAAAGATCGTGAGCGAGGGCTCGCCTCGGGAGAAGTCGCATGATAGCAAGTGTGCGGTTCTATCGAGACGTCGACATGTTTTACACTGAAAAGGCAACTGATTTGATTTGCGAAAAGCTACACAATGACGTACTGACAACGCTTGGTCCGTGCATTCGGCTCGCTCACGGACTTCGGACTTTGGCAATCCACGAGAACAGGATCAACATTTAAATTCCCCAAGTCCGAAGTTTATTATGCGGAGGAGCTTACTGCTTATCCTTGTTACCGAGATCCAGGGGACTGTCTTTGGACATGGTTAATAACTAATAGCTCTCGACGAATGTCGTAGGTGTATCATCAAAGCAGTCAGCAGTAGCCGCGAGCAACTTATCTTATGTTGTCAGCAATATTTACGAGAACTCTGAGATCTGCAATGGGGTGCTTAGACGATGTTCTTGTCCAAAACTAGCCCATTGACTGGCTGGCCTCATACCGCGTTGCCTCCCAGCAGGTCAGCAGCTCACCCCCAAGACTGGCAATAGATAACATTCAAGTAGTGTGCTGTTGATCAGCAGACCCCTATGTTAGACTCAGCATCAACTAGTATGTAAAGCTTATCAAACCTGCATGGTTTGCTCCCGCAGTCCCGATAACAGAAGGTCTATTACCTAGGTAGGTGTTTCGGCATGAGATCAAGTCTATCTCGGTCACACAGGCCACTTCCCCGGACTCATCTGAACCCCGGTGGCCTGATATCTGAAAAGCCAATGAGACGCGGTCCTGATGTCCGATTTCCGGCCCGGGATTGCTCGGAGAGGAAAGCGGAAAGATGTGGGTCATCTTCAGGTCCTGTGACCGACCAACGCCGGCCGATGCGACGCCGTGGCTCCAATAATGTCCGTATCGGACCTTGTGTGAATTTTATCGACAGGTACTAGTCTGGCCCGCAAAGAGTTACAGATTTGATACAGAGAACGCGCAACATAGAACCAGAAAACACATAATGTTCTATGAAGAAGCTATGCGTTGAATAATTGCGTGTATGTGACGATTTCACCATTCTCTCATACGATTCTTGCATTCTGATGCTGAGTATTGTAGCATACGCGTATGCGTAACGAGCGGTAATGAGCGATAAGGAGTAAAAAGGGCCTATCTGGTCTTATCAATCTCATGATCTGTGATCTTCCATCGGACCCCGGTTCCCCCCAAACTCCTTCTAGAGATCGACTTTTAGCTCAACGGCCAGTGCTTCCCAACACGAAGGCTGAAGCTTCCCCTTCTTCTCAGCTACGTGGTTATTGTGAAGAAGACCGTGCATAATCATACACAATGCCATGGCAAACAGTCCAGACACTTCGCTTAAGCAGGAAGCAGTCAATTCTCCTTTACCGCCTCTATCAAGCCAGTAAGGGGCTACTTGGGCTCATTCATTCGCAAACCGAGTCGATAATGGTGCATAGTACGTGCTTTGAAATCTTACTCCTGTAGGATGTCCTGTTCAGCCAGTGCTGTCCTGCCAGGTCAGCCGTCGGTGAGAGACCCAGAAGCGGTCAGCTCAGCTTGCTTGAGCCCTGGGCCCTTGCATGGTGAATGGTATGTACCTGAGATTATGGGGCCACGAGCCTCTCGGCTAAGAAAGCCAAGAAGGCAACGAGAGGATATTAGTGGGTAACGAGATCGAGTGGCCGGGAAACGTGTTCATGAATCTAAGGAATAAGAAAGAAAACTCGCGTCCCTTTCTTCTCAGGTCCGCCTCATCGTGATCCATCGGACAGGAGAATTCATAAGTTATTGGGTGTCTTGACCCTGCCCAAGGTAAATAATGGAGCCCTGACCCGGTAGTACGTATGTATCCGTAAGGTTTTAAAGAGTTCGACTCCAAAGCGGAGGCGACCCGCGTACGCAAATTTTGAGCATGGTTCTATCCTTGTTCACGATTGAGTTGTCTATGTCGACGTTTCGTAAGATATTTGAAAATTCTAAAGAAAACCACCACTTGTGGAACGCTAGATCCAGTTGGACCCATTTGAGGCTCGATGCGGCGATGGCTGGTGGGGGATGATGAAAAATCACTGTTAGTGGAAGATCCAAGCATAAAAAGATTGTAACATTGGGCATTGAATGACTCCTCAGGGATGTTTTGATAGTTCCGCCAAGCCTGTACTCGTAAGTCCTTCTTCTTCAGCCAAGGGATGGAAATGGCGGGCGGGCTATACGGCCTGGGCGGTTTCGTCCGTCTGTGGTTTTTGCCAGGGCCTCTTCTTTTCTTCTTTTCTTCTTCTCTCCTGCGCCCTGGCGTCGTCGTTTCCAGCCATCGGGGCTTAATAATGTCCGCTGATAGTCTTGTCGTGATTGATGTCAAACGAGCCTTTCTTCGACTACGTACTGCTATGTCGCTGACATACATAGCAAGAATGGAGAATTGAATGTCTCCGCTGACAAAACCCCGACCGTTATAGACGCCCTAATGTGTACAGTTCATGTATTGTGATTGGGTATCACAAACCCTGATGGTTGGGACGTCAAGGTCTTTGATGATGGGCGGGCCTGGCTGATGAATCATTCACCGCAATCGAAGGGGGAAAAACCATAGAGTAAAAGGGGCGTGCATTAGAGGAGTCGGTGTAGCACTGCCAAGGTTCCGCACGCCCTTGACGGGTCTCACGGGCACCGCCTGTTGGTCGCAAAGACACCCCGATCGGACTTGGGCTTGCGACCGATCCCGATACTCTCAGTTATCACGAAATTTTTACCGCTGATAAGGATATCGACCGGCGAGTATGGCGTCAACGCCGGTTACCATTCATGATAGCCGGCTGCTGACCGAGGCATAGCATAGTATAGCATGGTTCACAATTTGCGAGGAGATTCAAGATTGATATGATAGTTTTCAATGTTTTTTCTTATTTGTTTTTTGGGCTAATGAAAGCCTCTTTTGCTGAGCTATCTACCATTGGGGCGAAGCCTATTGAAGGCTGCCACTCAACCGTGTGTCGGGAGCGGACCCCATCATGATAATATCCAAGTCCCATCTGCCTGGTACAGTCCCTTCTTTGTCCTTCGTAGAGTGGTGAAATCCTTCTTTGTAATAACACAATGAAATCCGTAAGTCATATGCTTTGTGACGAAAAGAAAATGCAAAAATGCTTTTTGTTGTATCCAAATCCGTGTGGTATCCCTTTGTATAGTAAACGCCATGCAATGCCGCCATCGCTGTGTGCATGAAACAAGTCGCTAAAATCACAAATCAATCATCAAATGAGTTCCCGCTTAGTAGACCGAGATGGCCGACACAAGCCTCGCAGGGTTTCGAGGTGGCAGGTAGTACTCCTCATCATAGAGTGAATTGGATTCTTGTTCTTGTTGCGACTGCTCCTTGGCATCCTTCTCATCGAAGGTGAGAATGGACTGAGGCGGCGAAGGGGGCATCGAGTCATCATCAGATGAATCTGAGTCGTGGTCGACCAGCTCGGGTGGTGAGTTGGAGTGGGATGGTGTTCGAACCAGCTCTAGCTGAGCATAGTCTTCCTCAAGATCATCATCTTCCATGTCTTCGTCGAGCTCGATATGTGTGATTCGTGGGCTCATGGGCTTGGCGGGAAGAGAAGTATTGGCCATCTCAACATCGTCATCCTCTGAATCGTAGTCGTCGGAATCCGAAGAGTCTGAGTCGTAGTCATCCTCATCCTCTTCTTCGACGATGTTGTCGGCCCATTGCACCCTTCGTTCTTGCTGGGCGTTGGTTGCTCCTCGTACAGATTGGTTGAACCATCGTTCTTGTTCTCGCTCAGCGTCGGCAAGCTCCAGCATCAGAGAATCGAGGAGGTTGGCGTGACCGACAAGCAGTCGGAGGTCATGATCGGGCTGAGCAGCCTCACGCGAGAGCTTAGCTCGGGCCTTGTGGGCGAGGTAGTAGGTTTGTGTGATAGACATGTTCTTCTTTAGCGTGGACTGTCGGAGAGAAGAAGTCTTGGAGGCAGTTGGCCTATGAACAGAAATGGTTGTTGTTGTTGTAGTCGACATGTTGAAAAAGAGGGCCCAGATAAGGTAGGGGTCTTTGTCCTATGTATATAATGGCGGTTTGATGTTGTGAGTCAAGGCAGCGATCCCGATTGCGGCAGGCTCGAAGTTAGCGGCAGGGATGTCGGCTGTGGTGACAATGACTTGTGGGATTAGGTGATAAGGTGCTAGTCGAGTCCGTGGGTTTGTCTGAGAGGATTGTGGAGATAGTTGACCTTGATAGAAGCTTTTGAGGCTTATTAGTAGTTGTTGTGATGATGCTGTGTTTATCTGATTGATGTTGTGAGAGAGATGGATCTTGGAACGGGGGGACTCCGAATCTTTTAACTCCAGTGATCCTTTACGGACTTTTCATGTTGTCTCACGGGTGTGGCATGGGATTATGAGTTATGCCCGACACGCCGCTAAGCGGACTTTGCGCACGCGGACCCGAGGAGTGCGAGAAATGTCCACAGTCCCCATTGCAAAGCAAGGGCCAAGGTTCAAAGGGTGTGTGGCTTAGTGATGATTGACATGGATATGGGTGTGTGTGGACGGATGACTCTTAGACACCGCGAAGCCGCGAAGCTTAGAAAGATCCACCCAAAAGGCTGCCACGGCACATCGATTTACACAGGGCCCCTGTACCTTTCTGTCTTTTCACACTGGATGACATGACTGACGACACGTCTCGTCTATCCCGCAGCGAAACATCCCCGTCCGCGGCCCCGATGGAGCGGGCGGACGTTACGGAAGTCCATGTCAATCCCCGGGCTTGGGTACCTCAGTCAGGCCGCTACTTAACGGCCATGGCGCAGGTACCTCCTGTATTATGTGTACCCGAACTGGGCAGGCGGAGGTTCACTGCCCTGGATTCTTCCATGCCGTGTCCCTCAATAGGTACTTTGTTAGAGTGATCACAGCGACTGCATCTTCCGGCTAGGTATCAATACCTGCTACCAGTACCAATCTCAATCTTACTGGCAGTCTTACACTTCCTCTCCTCAATGGCGCAACAACCCCGTTACTTTCACCATAACTCAGATCGAAACATGCT